CCCTACCTACTCTTAGATTGTAAGCTCTAATGGGCAGGGCCCTCCAAATCCTCCTGTATTAATATGTATTGTACCTGTACTGTCTGCCCTTATGTTGTAAAGTGCATGTAAACTGTTGGCACTATATAAATCCTGTATTATAATAAAAATAATAATAATAATAATAATAAAAATACTTTAATAATATCAATTACACAATAAATCACAGAAAGGATCATATGAAGAAACAACAATGAAATTTAGGCACCTTTACATGGCTACATTCAGCTGCATTCGCTGTTCATTTGCGGCATTGGTACTCAAGATGTACAGTCAAAATCATTAGGAAAAAAATCCTCATTTGGCAAATCGCCCACTAGGTGATCTGGACCACGCCAAGCACGCTTGACCACTAAAGTCCAGTTTGTTGGAGTAGTATGATTGCTCTGTACCATGCTCTGCCACAATTCAGCATACTGTGCCCCTCTTGAAGGGGTGAGCACCACCACAGTTCAGCATACCATGCCCCTCTTGAAGGGGTGGGCTCTGCCACAGTTCAGCATACCATGCCCCTCTTGAAGGGGTGAGCTTCGCCACAGTTCAGCATACCATGCCCCTCTTGAAGGGGTGAGCTTCGCCACAGTTCAGCATACCATGCCCCTCTTGAAGGGGTGAGCTTCGCCACAGTTCAGCATACCATGCCCCTCTTGAAGGGGTGAGCTCCGCCACAGTTCAGCATACACTGCCCCTCTTGAAGGGGTGAGCTCCACCACAGTTCAGCATACACTGCCCCTCTTGAAGGGGTGAGCTCCACCACAGTTCAGCATACCATGCCCCTCTTGAAGGGGTGAGCTCCACCACAGTTCAGCATACACTGCCCCTCTTGAAGGGGTGTGAGCTCCACCACAGTTCAGCATACCATGCCCCTCTTGAAGGGGTGAGCTCCGCCACAGCTCAGCATACCATGCCCCTCTTGAAGGGGTGAGCTCCGCCACAGATAGCATACCGTGCCCCTCTTGAAGGGGTGAGTTCGGGCACAGTTCAGCATACAGTGCCCCTCTTGAAGGTTGAGCTCCGCCACAGTTCAGCATACTGTGCCCCTCTTGAAGGGGTGAGCTCGGGCACAGTTCAGCATACACTGCCCCTCTTGAAGGGGTGAGCTCCGCCACAGTTCAGCATACCATGCCCCTCTTGAAGGGGTGAGCTCCGCCACAGTTCAGCATACCATGCCCCTCTTGAAGGGCTGATCTCAGGCACAGTTCAGCTTACTGTGCCCCTCTTGAAGGTTGAGCTCGGGAACAGTTCAGCATACCATGCCCCTCTTGAAGGGGTGAGCTCGGGCACGGAACCGATAACTGGCAATCCTGACAGGACACATTTATACTGATAATAAGGGCACTGATCATCAGTGCCCTGATTATTGGTGCAGCCACATCAGTGCCAATCAATGCCCATTGGTGCAGCATATTAATGCTCTTCAATGCTGCCTTTCAGTGCCCATCAGTGCAGATTATCAATGCCCATCAGTGCAGCATATCAATGCCCATCAGTGCTGCCTCCTCCGTGCCCATCAGTGCAGCATATCAATGCCCCTCTGTGCCACCTATCAGTTAAATTACTTATTTGCAACATTTTATAACAGGAACTAAGAAAAACTTATTTTTTTCAAAATGTAAATTTTTCTCATTTGTTTAGCAAATAATAAAAAAACCAAGTGGTGATTGCCACCAAACTATCTGTCTCAAAAAATAATAAACATTTCATATGAGTACAGGGTTGCAATTGTCATTCAAAGTGCAACAGCGCTGAAAGCTCAACATTGGCCTGGGCAGGAAGGCGGTGAAAGTGCCCTGTATTGAAGTTCAGCTAATGGTTGTTATTTCTGGAAAAATACCACATCATGGCCACTAGATAGAGCTGGCGATCATAGAAAATCAATGCAAAAACAACACACAACAAATACAAAGCAAAATCATCAACATATGAGCAGAATTTGTGAAAGATGAAAACTTCTAGCATTTGACCGGCTAATATTTTCAAGCATAGACCCCTAAGTTTTCTTTGTTCTTTTTGTTTTCTGAAATGTTCTGCACTTCTTCCCAGTGCAGGTTTGCACACAGACACTCTCTGTATTCGGTAAGAACATGAGTAAATATTTAGCAGTCATTATCATCACATTTACAAATTGCTCATGATATAAATAAATATACAATATCCTCAGGTCAGACAATGTGCTAGTATTTGTCAGGCAGAGTCAGTGGTTAACCGATACAAGAAGTAGGTAAATTATTATTATTATTATATTATACAGGATTTATATAGCGCCAACAGTTTGCTCAGCGCTTTACAATATAAAGGAAGACAATACAGCAACAATACAGTTCAATACAAGAGGGTTAGGAGGGCCTGATCCTGGGAGCTTACAATCTAAGCCCAACTGAACCCTTCAAGCTATATTAACCTCCCTGGCGGTATGATTCTTTCCGATTTTTTGTGCTGAAAGCGGTACCATTATTTTGCATGGAAATATGTAGTTTTTTATTGTAGGCCTGTAATTTTTAGGAATAACTCACTGAAATCTGTCCGAACAAGAGTCTAGTAAACATCCCGGGTATGATAAAACTTGAAACACGAAATCATAAATTATAATTTAATAAATAATCATAAAAAATAATAATATAATAATAATACATTTAATTCAATAATATAATCAAACCAAAAACACTGAAATTTGAAATACAAAGGCAAATTCGCACATCGCTGAGCAAAGTCGCAAAATCGTTTTCAGTGTCTGATGACGAATTTCCCCACGAATCATTATCACTCAATTCTGCAAGTGGTTTCTGATTTACTATCGCTGTTCTCTAGCCGGTCTAAAACCGATTTTGACCTAAAGGGACGCTTTTTGGACGCCATGGACGTTTCTAAGTTTCCAGGCAGAAAGAATAATCAAAATGCAGGCAGGGCGCCGGACAAAGCACTCGGGACAAAATGTATGTGAAATGGTTTGATACAGGAATGTTTTACTATGTAATAATCATTTTTTTAAAACTTACATTTTTTTTTTAAATTTCAAATTTGCCGCCAGTTCCGGCGCCCGTACGTCCCGACGTCACAGGGACTGGAACACGGAAGCCGGATGCCGGCATCGGCCGTAGGAGATGGCCGGGGACGCTGCAGGGGACACATCGTGGGAACGAAGGACAAGGTAAGCTCTGCAGGGACTCCCTGAGCAATGCCGCATGGTAAGCCCGAGTGTAGCTCGGGGTTACCACTTTTGGTACAGAAACTCTACCCCGAGCTACACTCGGGAATACCGCTAAGGAGGTTAAACCCAAAAGCAGCTTACCAATTCTTACATGTGGTGGCTGCATTCATTTTCTATTTTATGCTTTCTTCTATTTTATTTATGGTGATCCAACTAGTAAGTCTGTTTTATTTTAAAAGAACAAGCTCTCTTCCAGATGTATCAGTTGACAAGGATGCGACATACCATTTACCACCGACATGAGTGCTTACAATGATTAGCTTTTATTTATTTATGTAAAACCTTTATCCCAAAAAAAAAAAACAGTTTGCAACTGATTATAAATTGTTAGCTGGTGTTTGGCTTTACTTTGTTACTGTATCTAAATCTGCTAGTACATCTATCACTTGACTCCTCCAATATTGACAATGCTGCTGTCCAGAGGTGCCCCCTGTGCTCCTTCATCCAGAATGGGGGTGCTGTAATACAATGTTATGTTACTGGCCAGATCACCAGGTGAAAACAGAAGGGGAAAAAAGACCTAAAAAAGAAAACTAATGCAGCCACCACATCTAATGACTGGTAAGCTGTGATATAATACATTTTTGATTTTGGGTTTAATACTGCTTTAAGTTTCATGACTGTAATGTGTAACAGAGCTTTCTTTCGGTGGTATTTGATCACCTGTGTTTTTTTAATTTTTTTGCTCTATAAACAAAAAAGGTTGACACTTTTGAAAAAAAAAAAAACTATATTTTTGACTTTTTTCTATTAAACATGTCCAGTAAAAAAAATTTAAAACTCATAAATTTAGGCCAAAATGTATTCTGCTCCATGTCTTTGCTAAAAACAAATCCCAGTACATGTTGTAGTGTTTCCAAATGGTGCTATATATGCTGGAAGTTTTCTTACTAGTAATTGCGGCGATCAGCGACTTATAGTGGGACTACGGTGGGCATTCTGACACTGGGGGGGAACTGACTGTCACTGACATCCCCAGTGACACTAAAACAGTTCTAATAAAAACTACTAACACTGTACTAATAACTCTAGGCAGGAAGGGGTTAACATTTGGGCCAATCAAAGAATTAACTGTGTGCTGTGTGTGTTTTACTGTGTGCTGTGCTTTACACTGTAAGCACACTGCTTTGTATGGCTCTGCTATGCAGAGCCATACAAATCAGTGTGCAGGAGCTGACAGGGGAGAGATCTGTATTGTTTACATACAGGTCTTTCCCCTGTCAGCGATACTCGGTGATTGCCGGGGGCTGGCGGGGAATCACCGGCCGGGACCCAGTGATCGACAGCCGAGGCAGCGAATGGCAGTACGGGTAGGACATGCCAAATCACATATATATGTACGCAGGGGCGGACTGACAACTCATGGGGCCCCCGGGCAATAGGGGATCATGGGGCCCCTGTGTCCTCGCCCACACTCAAGCACACCCAAAAAAGTCTATAAAAGGTACCAGGGACATCTCATGGGGCCCCCTACTTACCCCAGGCCCTCGGGCAGTGCCCTAGTTCCCCAATGGTCAGTTGCCCCTGTATATACCTGATTTTGCACAGCTGTGCTGCCCTGTAGCAGTATTTCTGCTATAGGGTGGCGTGGAAGAGGTTAATTGTTACACGCTGGGGAATAGGGATGTCAGAACAAAAGCAGGAGAGCCGGATCTCTGCTTGATGTTAAAGAGCAGCTGTCTGACTGTCTAGAGCGGTGCTGATAGGAGCTGTACACATGCCATGGCCATGATCAGGGGCGGACTGACAACTCATGGGGCCCCCGGCAATAGGGGATCATGGGGCCCCTGTGTCCTTGCCCAAACTCAAAAAAGCCTATGAAAAAGATACCAGGGGCATCTCATGGGGCCCCTTACTGACCCCGGACCCCGAGTTTCCAAATAGTCAGTCCGCCCCTGGCCATGATAAGCAAAATATGATACCCATCTAAGTGAATGAGGCCACACTGGAACTGCCCTGCATGGTACAGCACAGTGGTTACAGTAAGTGGGTAGCACTCATGCCTATCAGCAGTAGAGCTTTCGGTTTGAATCCCAACCATGTCACCACCTGCCTGGATTTTGCATGTTCTCCCTGTGTCTGTGTGGGTTTCCTCTGGGTACTCCGGTTTCCTCCCACACTCATGCTGGTAAGTTGATTGGATCCTGTCTAAATTGTCCCTAGTATGTGTATGTATGAATGTGAGTTAGGGACCTCAGATTGTATGCACCTTAAGGGACAGGGACTGATGTGAATGTACTATATATATGTAAAAGTGCTGCGTAAATTGATGACGCTATATAAGTACCTGTAAAGATTAAATAAATAAAACAGAGATGGGTTACTTTTCAGAGGGTGATTCCCATTCACATTGCACAAACGTGCTTTTTTGGGGGGGTTTTTTTTTGCATTACAGCATAGTGCAGCCCACTTATTTGAATGGGATGCCCCATGTGTGACAAATGTGCCATAGAAGCTACTGCACCTTTTTTTGGATGCAGAGTTTGGCGCATGTTTAACCGCACATTATATTGCCATGCACAAAAACATGCATTTACCGGCTGCCTTTGAGGTCAGAACGTGTAGATATAAATGCAGCCTAAAAGAGGGTCCTGGCTGCAATAGGATGATGTCCTGGCAGGACAAGATGATGCCATCTCTGGGAGTGTTTCAGTCAGGCTTCAGGAGGTACATAAATGACCTACACCCAGGGGCGTCCCTAGGTAGGTGCGGGCTGGTGCGCTCCACAATGGGTGACACCTTTTGCACGGGGTGACACCGGACCCGCTCCACGAAAAGGTAAGTTTTAATGCAAGCTGACGATCCCCGCAGGATGGATTGGATCTGTGGATTGAGCATAATGGATCGGAGTCCGATCCATTATCCTCCCCAATCCACAGATCCGATCCATCCTGCGGGATCATCGGCTTGCAACCTATACGGGGTTAACTGATCTCTCCACAAGCTCCACAAAAGGGTAAGTTTTAAAGCACACCGACGATCCCCGCAGGATGGATCGGATCTGCGGATTGAGCATAATGGATCAGAGTCCGATCCATTATCCTCCCCAATCCACAGATCCGATCCATCCTGTGGGGATTGTCGGCTTGCAACCTATACGGGGTTACCTGATCTCTGCATGAGATCGGCGTACTTTAAAACTTACCTTTTCGTGGACAGATCAGTTAACCCCATATAGGTTGCAAGCTGACGATCCCCACAGGATGGATCGGATCTGCAGATTGAATAATGGATCACACTCTGATCCATTATGCTCGATCCGCAGATCCGATCCATCTTGCGGGGATTGTCGGTGTGCTTTAAAACTTACCTTTTCGTGGAGCTCGTGGAGAGATCAGTTAACCCCGTATAGGTTGCAAGCCAACGAACCCCGCAGGATGGATGGGATCTGCGGATTGGAGCGTATAATAGATTGGACACTGATCCATTATGCTCAATCTGCAGATCCGATCCATCCTGCGGGGATCATCGGAGGGGGTGTCACCAAGTGTTCCGGCAGAGGGTGTCACCAACCCTAGGGTCGCCCCTGCCTGCACCTATAGCAAGGACATTATTCAGCTTTAGTCAAAGCTGCACAGGTTGTTTTTATGTACAGGCGCCTTTTAACCACTTGACTTCCGGAAGATTTTACCCCCTTCCTGACCAGACCATTTCTTTGCTATACAGCACTGCGATACTTTAACTGACAATTGAGCGGTCATGCAACGCTGTACATAAATTATGTTTATGTCCTTTGTTCCCACAAACAGAGCTTTCTTTTAGTGGTATTTTGATCGCTACTGGGTTTTTAATTTTTTTGCACTATAAACAAAAAAGACCGACAATTTTGAAAAAAAAAAAAAAAATTTTTTACTTTCTTCTATAAAACATATTCAATAAAAAATAAATAAATAAAAAAATCCCTTCATAAATGTAGGTCACAATGTATCCTGATGCATATTTTTTTTGGTAAAAGAAATTCCAATAATTGTATATTGAGTGGTCTGCGCAAGAGTTATAGTGTCTACAAACTATGGATATATACTGGAAGCTTTATTTAATCATTTGTTTTATACTAGTAATGGCAGTGATCAGTGATCGATAGTGGGACTGAGACAATTTGACACTAACTTTGTGGGAACCAGTGACACTAATACAGTGATCAGAAAAAAGAAAAGAAAACATCTCTAACAATACACACCAAACTGAGCATGTGCAGAGTGACTCCACATGATATGTCTTATCAGGAAATAAGAAGGGGACACTGGAAGAAGGGGAGGATCAGAGAAGACAGGATCAAACAGCCTTTTGACACAATACAGAGGCTTAACCCCTTAGGTTCCACAGTGAGTATAACAAGCATGCTTCACTGCATATACAGACTGATTGTACTGTTGTGGGTTTAGTAACACTTACATTTTATGACTAAAGTTCCACTTTAAAGTGGTTGTAAATCCTTACATATACTCAGTGCAGTGACTATCCTCGGGTAATACCCAGAGATGAACTAAATCCTCTTCTATACATTGTACCTGGTTATATGCAGCCGTCTCTTTTCTACAGCCACTCAAAGTGCAGAATTTATACAGCTTGTCTGAGCTTTCAGGAAGCAAGGGGCAGGGAGCTGCAGTTACACTCTGCAGAGCTCAGTGAGAGCTGATTGGAGGGAAGGTACATCACCCCCCCTTCACACAGCTCACAGGAGCTGAGGCTGTCAATCACAGGCTGTGTGCAGGAGCTCCCTCCCCTGTCACTTTATCATCTCTTGGTGTCAGGAAAACCTGTCAGAAGTGACTCACACACTAATAGCAGAGGAACCAGACAACAGACAGAAATGACACTCAGTACTCTGGATTGAGACAAGTACACACTACAGAGGAGTTTGCTTTGTTCCTATTTCCATGTCTGATGTTTAACACCATTTTGTTATACTTCAAGTATCATTTCTTGTAGGGTGTAACATTCGACACTTAACAGTCCATTCAACCTTTACTTTGGTGTCATCACAATCCCGGATATAAAAGGTCTGACAAATATTTGCTTTAGCTACCATGAAAGATTTATTGTCTCGTGTAAATCCATCATTACACACAGTAATCTCCGAGTGATGAAGGAACTGATTAAGTTGTGCTTACTATATAGGGGAAAAAAAGTTATAATTTTACAGTTTTGGGTATGGTTTACTGAGGGTTTTTTTTTTTTTTGTTAATCATAAATAAAGTTTTCTTTTATTAATAATAATAATAAAAAAGTAATAAATGCTAATTTTTTTGCAGGTCTCTAACATCCACCAGCTCCGTGATGTCGTCATGGAGGAGGGGAAGAGGACTCCAATGCCAACCTGTGAAGCTCTGGTGAACTCCATGTCCAAGAGGGTTAAGGCAGTGCTGGAAAAAAATGGCGGCCACACGAAATATTGACACTTTGGGCCCAATTTGGACCTTGTCACTTAGGGGTGTACTCACTTTTGTTGCCAGCGGTTTAGACATTAATGGCTGTGTGTTGAGTTATTTTGAGGGGACAGAAAATTTCCATGTTATACAAGCTGTACACTGACTACGTCACATTGTAGCAAAGTGTCATTTCTTCAGTGTTGTCACATGAAAAGATAGAATCAAAAATTTACAAAAATGTGAGGGGTGGACTTACTTATGGGAGATACTGTATATAGACCAAGGCACCATTTTATTGTGGACAATCAAGGAGGAGGAGCCAAAGACACCGTGACGTCACGCTGCCCGTTCCACGTGGAAGCCCGCCAGCCATCTTAATTACTGGATGGTCAGTCCATTACATTTACTCTGCTGCTCACTCTGCTGTATTTGGAGTATTTTCTCTGCTGCTCACTCTGCTGTATTTGGAGCTTTGGAATTGCTAAAATCATGTTTTTAATCTAATAAATTAAATAATCATACCTACTACACTATGGGCATTTTCTATGGTGATTTATTTCTAGAGGCCTCCATGATCCAGCCAACACAGTATCCAGAGAAGGGAGTTCCTTAACCATTAGCCGCCCGGCCAATGGCCGTTTGGCGGCTTCAAAAGTGTCTCTGCACTCCGGGTGCACGCCATTTGGCGTGCTCCCGCACATGCGCAGTTTGCGCTAATGCAGAGCGGCGCAGCAGTGCGATCTGTCACCGGCCATGCACCTCGGACACGGCCGATGACAGATCCGAGTACTGGCTCCCGTTGCTGGTACCATGTGACCTGCTGTGACCAATCACAGCAGGTCACATGACAGTTGTATACAATGGATGGCTTCATTCATGATGCCATCCATTGTATACTAGTGCCTAGCTGTGAATGGTCACAGCTAATCACATGCACATGTCATGTGATTAGCTGTGACCAAATCACAGCTAAGCACAAAAAAAAAAAAAAAAAAATCGATTTCATTCAGGTAAATGCTTGCTTATAGCAAAGTAATTCTTTGCTATAAGCAAATTGTGTAAAAAAAAAAAAAAAAAATACTGATCACTTCCCCAAAGTAGTACAATGTTACTATGGTAATATTGTACTACTTTGGTCATAGTAAAATATGAAAAAAAATCTTAAAAAAAATAAACAAAATGTAATAAAAAATTAAATATAATAAAAAAATAAAAAAAAATTTAAAAAAATATATATATATATATTTTTTTTTCATACTGTCACCAGTCAGTGTCCCTGTTCACCCCCATGCCAGTTATATGATGACGCTGTACTGCACTGGTGACAGTATGTAAAAAAAAAAATAGTGAAAATAATTTTTTTAATTTTTTCATTTTCCGAAAAATTAAGACAAAAAAATACAACTTCAAAAAACTCGCCATTCCTCTTATGAAGTACGTCGGACTGTCTACTCTGCAAAAAGGGGTCATTTGGGGATATCTGTACTATTCTGACATTCTTGGACCTCAAAAAATTAGATTGGCCGTCAGTACTTCAGGATTGATCAATATTCAGATC